GCCCAGCAGCTGGTCAGGGCAGGCTCCTCTTCCTGGAGTCTGAATGTGGCATGCTCTTCTGGCAGCAGAATGCTGGCAGGGACTGTGGTTGAGGATACCCCAGCTGTGAGGGGTGGACTCGTAGCCCCAGAAGCAATCTACAAATTCTGTTGATTGTTTGATAAACATCGCCGATCCACCCACTTGGTTCCAGTGTGTAAATTGCTCTACTTGCCATCAATAACTGTATTCAGATTAGCTTCTGCACTCTGGAGACTTCCTTCCCAGCTGCTGTGTACTCACTGAGGCTGGGCTTGAATTTGAGGAGGCCCAGGTGGCCCCCACCTGCTCCATAAGCAGAGCTTTGGTGGGCAGCGAACCCAGACAAGGATAGCCCGAGGTGCTGGGCATTGAACCCGCTCTGAGAAAGCAGGAGAGGACGGACGTTCTGAAAGCCAGACACTCGCCAAGCTACCTCCACTCTGAAGAAGTGAAAGTCCTGCGTGGTGTCAGATCTCACGTCTAGGAGAGATGAGGGACAGGGCACTAGCAGCTGAAGATGGGGATCACCCAGCTCTCTTCACCACTGCTGCAGAGGCATCTGCATGATGGATGCCTCAGGAGGGTCTGCTGGGCTTGGGGGGAGGGGAGGCTACTGAGCAAGGTCCCCAAAGCATAGAAAGTGTCAGAGAGGGAGGAAGCTGGTCTCTCACACCCACACAGCCACACAACTTCCTGTCCGAAATCCTGCTGCATTTTGCACCAGCTTAGCCCTGAAAGCTTGGGGTTTTCAGAGCTGAATTAGGACCCAGTTTTGACCTGGAACCTTGTTAAGAACAGTGACTCTGTTGGATAGGAAAATGAAAGACTTGAAACCCCCTTGTCTTCCGCAATGATGGGGTCTTTCTCAAATACGCCCTGTGCGTATTTACCGACAGGAGGCTGTAGGTTTTGCCCCAGCAACAGCTAAGAGAAAAGGGGCAGCCCCAGGACTCACCAACGTGCCTGACTTCCCGCCACACTCAGGAGGTCCTGGTGGGGTCATCTGTGCCTCCCAAGAAGGCATTTGAGAGAGGGAGGGGAGGGAAGAAGGGGAGTTGGGGAGGTCGTGGTGATTCAAGTGTTCTGGACCTGGGGAGGCCCCCCTGGGGCCCTCAGAAATGCAGCACAGCTTGAAGTGTGAGCAGTGGAGGACAGACTCAATACTGCCCTGGTACAGAGAGGCAGTCACTTCTTAGGACTGCCCATTCAGAAACCACACCACGACACTAACACTGTCAGTTTGACAGGACCTAGAATCATCCGGGAGACCAACCTCTGTCCCTGTCAGTGAGGGGCTTTCTAGATTGGGTTAATTGAGGTGGGAGGACCCATCTTAAATGTGGCCGCAGGATCCCACGGGCTGAGATCCCAGGCTGAAGAAAACGGAGAAAGAAGGCTGAGCACAAGTGATCATCTCTGCTTCCCGACGCAGACGAAATGTGACTAGATGCTCCACCTTCTGCCTCCCTTCCCCGACATGATGGGCCACCCACCGCCTTTCTTTTATTGTTTTTAAAATGTAAAACTTACATTTATTAGTTTATTTGAGGAAGGAGGGTACATACATGCCACTGTGCACACACGGAAGTCAGAAGACAACTTGTGAGGTCTCTCCTACCACGTGGGCCCCGGGGATTAAAGTCAGGTCATCGGGCTTGGCAGCAGACACCTTTGCCCATTAAGCCGTCTAACTGGCCCCTGTCCCTTCTTAAACTGAGCCAAACTCAACCCTTCTCCCCTGAGTTGCTTCTTGCCAGGTATTCGGTCACAGCTACTAGAAAATAAAATTGTTCCCCCTGTCAGTTGGGGCAAGGGAGATGAGTGTGGCTACCAGCCTCCTGTTGCCCTCACCATCATCATTAGTGACCCCTACCAAAAGTCTATCTGCAGCCAGTGATCGTGAGCTTAGTGGGACTTCCTTGATGGGCTCCTAGCCTGAGTCCCGGCTGTGCCCAGGGCAGACCTGTCCCTTGAGACCACTCACCTGCACTTTTGGGTGTTCTAGCATGACATTTTCTCATCCAGCATTCTTAAGAAGACCAGAAATGTCACCACAGATCAGACCGAAGACTACTGGCTCAGAATTCTGACCACAGCCCCGAGGGAAAGTGTGAGGGAGAGTCCAGTGTTTGCATCCTGAAAGGCCAAAGATGTGCTCGGGATGTCCCTGATTCCCCTTAACAACCAGCTACTTGTCTACCTCTCTGTTAGTCAAGACTCCTGGAGCAGGTCCAGGGCCTCCATGCTCTGTTCTGTGCCCAACCCTCCAGCTTCTTAAGCAGTGAGGTCTAGGAGGCAGAGCTGCCTTCTGAGCATCTCCAGACTTCATGGAGCTTACTCCAAATCCTTCCTCTAGACCAGCAGCAGGGCCCCAAAGTCCCTTTTAGAATGTCACAAACTCGCAAACACACCACAGGCTCCATTTCCCAGGTGGTACCTCTTGAAATGGAGAGAGAAAGCGGTGTGAGAAGCATCAGTGGTGGCCAGTGCCCTCAAAGGACAGAAGCAGAGCCCGGTGTGGAGGTGCACACTTGCAACCCCAGCACGTGGGAAGCCAAGTCAGGAAGATCACCACAAATGTGAGGCCAGCTTGGGCTACAAAAAGTGCCAGGCTCCAAAGTGAGACCCTGTCTGAAATTACAACAATGGATACGTAGCTCTTTTAGCAGATTGCTCATGTCACGTGCACATAGCTATGGGTTCGATCCCCAGCATCACATGAACCAGGCACAGAAGGTAGGAGGATCGGACGTTCAGAGTTAGCTCAAAGTTGTCCTCAGCTGTGCAGATTGAGGTCAGCCTGGGATATGAGATGCCAGGTCTCAAACAAAAACAAACACTATTAAGACAAATGGGAAAGCCAGTGAAGGTTCTCTAGAGCAGTGGTCCTCCTTCTTCCTAATGCTG